TGAACAGACCTCGTATTCATACCTCAATTAAGAAATTACTAAAAATTTCGAATTTTGTATTAGGAGAGCATAAGTTGATTAAGATCTTTTTTTGACAAATTTTTTGTTGAACAGACCTCGTATTCATACCTCAATTAAGAAATTACTAAAAATTTCGAATTTTGTATTAGGAGAGCATAAGTTGATTCGGGTCTTTTAGGACAAGAAATTTACCAAAAATAGGATTTTTTCAACATCAATACTTATGCTCTCCTGATACAAAATCAACAAAATTAGCCTGATATATGCTAGTTATGATATGAGAGCATTTACTTATTTATATATATTATTAAATAAAAGGCATAATTTAACAATTAAACTTTATTATTGCAAAGGCATTTAACAATTTATAATGATCATAATAAATTATCTACATGCTATCACTAAATAGATAACAATAATTTGTTTGCTTTTAATATGATGTACTGTTGAAATTAAAAATCAAAAGGATCCTTTTCTAAGCTGTATATAGATGACTGTACCTCTTACTTCATCATAGTGGTAAATATTCATGCAAGAATGGACTGGTAATTATTTTATTCCAAAATCACTGTAATGGCTCATTAAATCTCGTAATCTGCAACTAAACAAATTCATTTTCTCTTTGAATAAATGAGTTAATGGATTCATCACTCACCTTTGAAAACTAAAAGCAAGAAGTTGCGTTCCAATATCCATACAATTGCTTATCGTTTTGCATAAGAAAATCTGAAGAGGAAACTATCAATGCTTTGAGGAGGTCCATTAAAACAAGCAAGAATATGTGGACATTTCTCGACGGTCAGCAGACAGAAAACCAAAGCCTTAAAGCTTACATTACTTTGATGGTGGACGAACTGTATGTGATAATGCCTTAAACATTTCCAGTGTCTCCTTGATTTGTCTTCAACTGTAATTATTAAACGTTTTAAATAATAAATAAGTTNCTCTGGTAAAAAATAAATAAAAGGTCGTCTTCTAAAACATCTACTTACTTACTTAATGCCGATGGAAAGATAGCTATCGTCACACACATAATATTCATAACACAGGATCCTACTGAACGTAATTATTAAAATAGTTTAAATTAGGATATAAATACGAATTAGTCATTAAATATTCATGTTGAAATTTTATTTTAATAAACGAACGTAATTTTTGATTAATTCTTGTATCAAATCCTACTGTGATAGCGTGCTTGTCTTTTACGCACCACTGATATACCAGTTTCATGAAGTCCGTTACAGATTTCAAATATTTTTCTGTTAGCAATTGGATTTGGAGGATTTAATTTAATCAAAAAAAGTATGACGAACTTATTTTTTTTTTGTTAGCTTATTCAGCAAAATTGTTTAGTACTCTACTTAATAATCATCACCAATACATACATCGAATATCACAAAAAAGAAAACCTAAAACGGTCGATTCAACAAACATGTTTTGACTTCCAGTGCATTATTACTCAATTGTGTCAAGGGTAGTTTATCAATACTTTATTGTTACCGTGGATCGACTGGAATCTGACTAAATAAAGCAATATTGTCCTGCAATATTTTTCATTCTAGAGACGGTATCTACACATGTGCGCGATTAATTTAATACACATCTCTCTGAGTTAAATATTGCTTTACCTGTTACTTAAGTATCTATCTAAATGCTAACAACCTGTTAGGGTTTAAGGGATCTATAGCCTGGCAGGACAGACCATTGAAAGCATTTTATTTTAAATAATGGATTGTTTTAAAGTGTCCTCAGACTTGCTTAGTTTTTGTTCCTCCGGTTGAGCTTTTGATTAGAATTTAATATAGCATTTATTTTGAAATCATAAATTTACAAAATTTACTTCCCCTTAAAACTTGTCAGATGATTTATTAAAAAGGTACCAACCCATGAGCTCATTAGTCACAGGGCGAAGAGCATTTTAAGCCAATCCTCCTCAATACATAACGTACATATATATGGATAAATCTTAAATGGTTACCAAAAAACTACTAAAATTCTGAAAGTTTCAGTGAAATAATATAAATATTGGTGATGATAAACTAGAAAACTGTGTAAGAGCGTATGTTTGAAGCAAGGTAACGTTTCGAATGAGAAGCGATTGGAAAGAGCAGAAGAACAGAGGGCATAACGGAAGTCAACAGGAGGAAAAAGGAGAGATAGAATAGCTTGTGACACAATGACTATTTTGGGAGACATATTAGCGGTAGAAACAAGAATGGAGCAGTATACCGGGATTAGATCATTGTTCGCAAATCGTTAAAGATGTGGGATATTATAGTTTCAGAAAATGTGAAGATTAGCTCCAAATAGGAAGGGCAGAGGTGCGTGCCCAATCAATTTTTTGACTGACGATGGTGAACTGAATTGACTACAGAAAAAAATATGAGAAATAGATACTTTAAAACGGGAGACCTGAAGCATTCAGAATTTTAATATCTTGATAATAACATATACTAATAATGAGATTGCTCGTAGAGGACGATTCATTTATCCCATTTGTGGGTGCTTTAATGGTCTGTACAGACATTTTCTACGTTACATTTATAGTTTTACTTTTTAATATTTATTATGAATCACATTAATAAAACAGCTGAGAGACGTCGCACATAGGGAATTCGGTATACATTTACGTAGCAGCTGTAAAGATTTTTCATAAATAAAAATAAGAAAAACCCGAAAGGGAAAAATTTAAAAAGTTTTGCAATAAGTCTATAATAATAGTCGATATACAAACGAGAAGAAAATTTTCACCGCTGCCACACAACATAACGACACTGAATGTGAACCTGGTAATTTTATTATATACCTATTAATTATTTAGTCGAAACTTTATGAGTACAGGACGTTCACGGTATAAGGTATAAACGCACAAAAAGCAGAGTTTGAGTTGTTTTAAAATAATACCCTTTTATTTTTAATTGTATTAATACTTCTTTTTAAAGAAGAAATTTAGTTCTCAAATGTGTCCTGTATATTGAAAGGAATTTACTTAATAATTAAAAACGCGTTCCATACGAATAAAAAGACAAATAAACAACAAGCATGCATGTAATTCTATTTAANCACAAAAATAAGTGAAAATGACGAACAATTAACGGTCAGTTAGGGATGGCATTTTAAAAAACGATTTGGAATTCACTTTTTAAAAATTTTAGTGGAAAAATTGCTTTTTACCAAAACTGTCTTTTAATGTGTATGTTTAATTCTTCCTATTTATATGTATGTTGTCTGAATTTTGCGCATGTCTCGGGTTCAACTATTGATTGCAAAGAAAGGTAATATATCATTATTCTTTTCCCGTAAAAGTTATTATACTACGAAATAAGAAATTTGAAAAAGTACATCACAACTGCATATTTTTTTAACAAAACCTGCTCTTTGAATAAGCATGGATGGTAAAAGTGAAACTACAAATGCTGATGACGATAATCAGCCCCTTCAATGCAATATTTGTGGAAAAACATATTGTAGAATAACGTATTTTAATTTACATCTTCAAAAACATTGTGCTGAAAAAGGACATTTTGAGTGTGTAGTATGTGAACGAACTTTTGGAGACGAAGAACAATTTAATAGACATATTGACGACCTCCATAAGGAAAGCCTCCCCTTTAAGTGTCAAATATGTGAAAATCGCTTTAATACAAAAATTTTATTGCAAAAACACTTTAAAATGCATTTGGAATTTCCATGCCAATTTTGTGAAAATCATTATTACACATCAGCGGATTTAAAAATTCACATGAGCAGCCATACTAATGAAAACCCTTCAAAAAATTGTAATTCTGGTTCTAAACAAGAGCTTTTCGTTTGTAAAATGTGCAATAAGAATTTCACAAAAGTGGAATACTTAACTTTACACAACAAGAGAATACATCTCAAAGTAAAACGTTACGAATGTGATACATGTAAAAAACGATTTTTCGAAAAAAGAGAATTTGAAGAACACGTCGATAGGCATCTTAATTATAAAAGATTTCAATGCAGTTTATGTGGAAAATTGTTTAGTAGTTATCAGACATTTCGAGTTCACAGTAAAACCCATGCTACCAATGATACAAACAAACAAAACCAGTGCAAAAAATGTAAGAAAAATTTTATTACACCTTATAGATTGAAAGTTCATACATTGTCTCATGTCACACAAAAATGTTACTCTTGCAAATTGTGTGTAAAGAAGTTTGCTAGCGAAAATTACGCGCGAAAACACTTAAAATTGCACAAAAAAGTTAAATCATTTAAGTGCGAAACGTGTAACAAAAGTTTCTCATATAAATCGAGTATATTACAACATATTTTTAAGCACTTCGGAATAAAACTATTTAAGTGTAATATTTGTAACAAAAAATTTACTACCAAAAAATTTTGCAAAATGCACAACTTGGCGCATTTCGGTAAAAAGCCATTTAGATGTACTTTTTGTCCGAAATCATTCTTGAGTAAAACTGGTTTAAATTACCATAGTTCAGTACATACTAACGGTGAAAAAATTAAATGCATATTATGCGAAAAAGAATTTAAAAGTAAATATCATTTGCGGCGTCATCTACGTAGTCACACAGATGAGAAATTGTATATATGCGCAATTTGTGAGAAAACATTTATGCAGATAAAAAACCTGAAAAGACACATAAAAATTCATACTGAAGAGAAACCTTTTATATGTGAAGTATGTAAGAAAGCGTTTTCAGACATAAGCCATTTAAAAGACCATTTTCGTATGCACGACCATTCAAATAATTTTTACCAATGTCAATTTTGTGAAAAGAAATTCTTAAGTCGTCAAGCCTTAAAGTGCCACAAAATGGATCACACCGGCATTAAAATTCACAACTGCGTCCAGTGCGAAAAAAGTTTTAAAACAATTTCGGCACTAAAAGACCACGAAAGGGTTCATACGGGCGACAAACCTTTTCAGTGTGAAATTTGTCAGAAGCAGTTTGCCTGGAGGAATATTTTACGGTCACATATTAAAACACACACTGGCGAAAAACCATATAAATGCGACATGTGTGAAAAATCATTTTCTAGAAAAACATATTTAAAAACTCATATTCAGAGGTGCCATCAAATAATTAGAGAAAAGCCATTTAAATGTAACATGTGTACAAAAAGTTATACCAAGAAAAAATATGTTGAAGCACATTTCAAAAAACATCATACTAATCTGGAAAACTTAATTTAAAATTTAATGTTCGTAATTAATACTTCAATTTACTTATTTATTCGTTGTAAGATAAAGCAACTTATTGTCATGAAGAATATTAAAATTGAATTACAAATAACATGGTGTTTAATCTTGTACTGTTATATCTACGTATATTTATGTGTAATACAATTCTGTGGCACACAGTTGAAGATGAAAGCATAATATTTGAAAAATGTGTCTCTCTTAGGCTGTAGATGTGCACTCAGGAAGGATTTTGCAAAAATCAACCCCTAAGAGTGAAATGGGGAGCAAACGTGTATGGAAAATTGTATTTCAACCTTAACTTTAGCATAATTTATTATTCTTCAAATCAAATTGGTAATACAATACGTATTTAAGGGGTTTTTAAAGCTACCCGTGAAAAGAGTTTTTCTGGGGTGTTAGCCTGTAGGTTTTCTTAACTACACATTAAAATACAGCGATAATGCTCCTTACTATGTTTAAGAAGCTGATAAAAAAATTGCTAATGATTGAAAACGTAAGGGAATGCGAAATTTAATAAAAAACTTAATTCGTTATTGTTATTATTTTTACCGATTCCATGCGTTATAAAAATAAATGTCGATTGGTTCATAACAAAAGAAAAGAACTCTTACCGTTAATCCATAACATAGACACTACCCTGGCAATGAAAAATATGACAGATGTGTTAAGCTGTCATGTGAGACAATTTAACCTTAACTTTATAACAATTTTAAATTCCGGAATACAAAAATGAATTTTTTACT